TAAATGACCTGTCAATTGGGTAATGTTGGTAGGGTTTAAAGCATTCTTAACCGTGCATGTTCAGTCAATTATATTGCCCAGACAACAACCAAAATAAAGGTATTGATTAAAAGTTAAGAACCCCGAATTTCAACTGTAAAACAAAAAATACCTGAAAAAATTGGCAGTCTAATGAAAACAAACAGAATAATTCACCTATTCTAACAATCTTTATTTTTTTTCACGTGATATATTACTCATAGTTCAATTTTTTCAAAAATAATTATTATTAATGGGGCAGACAAACTCCAAACTTGATGACCAATGCTAATACCATAAAAGAAAAAAGGTGGTGAATCAAGTTAGAGTCGAATTAGACACAGGAATTGCATATGATTTTTCCATTGTGGCTCAGTGCATTTGATTTTTCCAGGGGAGAAAGAAAGAGTGAAACTTGCAATTGGGTTATTATGGTATGTTTTCCCAATGAGACATGTTTAGTCAATTATTATCCGAACAATTAGGAAAACCTAGTGGGATAATTTCTTTTCCTGAATGTCTACTGATTGGATTGGCAATGGAAAAAGTATGGCAATTATTCTTTGTTTTTAAATGCTTTGCCATGACCTGACATTCTCTTTTCAAGGTTGCTAAACATCTCCATGTGACATATTAAGCTTCTGATTGACCACTCTAGAGGAGAGATGCTCTTGTGGCACTTGCATCTTAGAATTCCTATCAAACTTTTACTGCAATTTTTCACGAGTGGAGAGATCTGTAAAGAGCACTTGCAAATATAGGACTCAATTTAAAAAAATCAAGTAGACAAGGAAAAGAATAAATGACTTGACTAAAGCAATAATTGAAAAGAACTTAGGATATCAGTCTTTTGATTCTCACAGTGCAGAAGTTTGAAGCAATGGATCAAAAAGGAGCCAAAAAAAATAAAAGAAAACAAATTATGAATTAGATTGACATGGTGATTGGTGAATGAATACTGTCAAATGGGCTCAATGTTTTATGCACTATTCTACTGTGATTAAAGGCACAAATACTCGAAGTCAACTTGAACAACTAGTGTATGCAGTAAATAATTTAACATTATTTTTGTTAAAAGTTAATTTACCCATGGTAGATGCATCTTCTGTTTTGATTTTCTTTTGTTGCTTATCGTAGCTAATTTGTAAGTGGCTAACTTGTAAGTTTATGCCTAACATTCCCAAGATTAAAGAGATTTATAAGGCAGCTTTCAAGAATTCCTTTTAGCTCCTCTTTACGCTACTATTAATCATGTACTTTGCACGTAATTATAATATCATAAGATAAAATATTTCTTATACATTAAAATTTATTTGTGAAATTTTTTTTAAAAATATAATATTTGCACATTTCATATTTTCTATTTTCTATTTTATTTTTTAATAAGTGGAAGGTCTTGAACTCATGATCTCATACTTACAATTCCTCCCAACTTACCACCCAACCAACCCTCCCCTCTATTTTTTTATTTAATTTTTCATCTTCTTTAATTAATTGTCCTTAAAACCATTATTTTAAAAGCCAGAAAAAGGTTCACAAAAAGTTGCATCTATAAATTCATATAATTCTCTAGAGAATTTTAAAATGAGGATACATTTTGTCTCTTTCAATTTATAATAATGATTTTAAGGATAATTAATTAAAGATGATGAAAAATTAACACTTAAAAAAAATATTTGACCAAATATGGAATGATCTGATAAAAGTATCAATATTTTGAATGGTGTGTACAATATCGATACTTTTAATTACTTCTTTTGTTTTTTCTTTTTTCCAAGACAAACAAATTATGTTAATACCACTAAAATTCTTTGATTTTTAATTAGATATATGAACAATTTTTTATTTTCTTTTGAAGTTGGAGGACCTAAATTTGCATGCTAAGTAAAAGTTAATTGTTTGCTAACCATTAGGGTTAGTCCAGTGGTTAAAGGAGGCCTCTTAAAGTCCGCTCCGATGTTAGTTTCAAGATTAGAATCCTATGTCTAACAGTTGGGAATAGAAAAGGTGTGGAGAAGGTGGGAGGGTAAAAAAAAATGAAATAAAAAGTAATTATTTGCATAAATATTAGTTGCATGTTCTATCATCATTATTTTTCATATTATGAAGTTGAATTTGTCACTTGCTTGATGAAATTCTCCTCAATATGAAGGTATATGCACCATTTTTTGAAAAACGAAGTGAGATATATATTTTTTGAAGTTGAACTCTTTGTTTTATTCTGTATGCTATTTCTGTTAATAATAGAATATAAAATAATCCATCACATATAAATTTTTTGGCCTAACTCTTCATTTTTTGGGAATTAAAATTTCATTAGTAAAGATAATTGGGTTTTTTATTTTTTTTTATTTTTAATTTCTTGGGTAGAATCTAACATAAAGCATAAACGGTAAAGATTCTATTGCCCTAAAAGCACCTTGTTTTGGTATCAATGGTAATATTTTTGAAACTTTAAAATTTTTTAATGGAAAAAAACTAAAAATAGAATGCAAAGAGACACATTAGTTGGAGTGTTATATTTTGTTTGTTGTCTTCATAATTCAAATCTAATTAAGGTTACAAATTTTTTCTAACTGCTAGAATTATTGCTATTATTGAAATGCAATAAATCTAATTATTAGAAAGAAGGATATTTTGGACAAATAGAAAATAAAGACCAGCGTAATCTCTAATGTTTAAAATTTTGTCTTGTCATCAATCATTACTTTCTTTTAAATTAGTAAATATGATATAATGAATTTTAATCATCAGAACAAATTAAAAACTAAAAAGAGCATAATATGAAAATTCAATCATCAATTAATAAAGGCATAATTAAAATAATAAAAATTAAGGTCACAACAATGGTTACAGTTACACTCCAAAGCACCAAGAGTCATGGTATGATAATGATTTTTGTGATAGTGTCAGTTCAACAAAATAAAAAATTAGCAATCATTTATAAATTTTAATTATATATGATGTAGGACTTGTGAATTTGGTGCTTCAACAATGCATGATACACATTGCATATTCAAAAGGGATAATTTTGGAAACCTCCCCTGAAACTGAAGGTTTTAACAATTTAACCTAGCACCCATCTAATTTTAGAAATTACACCAATATCCCTGGTACACTGAGTTACCAAAAATAACTTTCACTTTCTCGCTTTTTTCATGAGGAAAAAACCTTGTACTCTTAGAAGAGAAAGAAACCAAAGAACGTTATTTGAAAATTTTGATTGACATCTCAAAAGAATCGCCCAATGAAAACATTTATTTAGTGAATGCTTTGATTATGAATTTTATTGAAAGTAATTAATAAAGAATTGGATGTAAAAGCCATGTTAGACAGAAAGATGTGACTTTTTTTCCAAGTTGGTACCTACAGATTTTGGATTGCTAGAGTATTTCTATACGAGTTATTTTTCATTATTATTTTTTTGATCCGTGATCTGTGCCCTACAATATATGATAGTAGGGGATTTGCTGGGATGGCGTGGCTCTAGTAGTGATAGGAAAGGAGCATTAGAGAATTTTATATTACTTTTTTACCTCACCCAGTGGCGGAGCTAGGAATTAACTTTGGGGGGGGCGAGTCTATAGCAATGAAAGTAAAATATATTTACAAAAAAAAAATAAAATGTGAACATATATACCACAAGATTAGAAACAACCTTATATAGAATGAAAATTACTTATACGCTTCACACATACAAAAATATCATCATATTTACAAATCTATTTGACTGTGTGGGACATATGAAATTGTGCACGACGACTTTTAATTTTATCAAAGTCATCAATGATTGAATTTACATCAAAAGTTCTACCAATTTCTTTCTCAATATACATTATCATAGAGTTGGCAAGAAAGTCTTCCTCCATCCTAGAACGCAAACAAGTCTAGATGATTTTCATAGCAGAAAATGCACGCACTATTGTAGCTGTTGAAACAGGAAGAGTCAAAATAAGACGAATCAATCTATCAATAAGAGTATAGCACATTGACTTTCTTGTCTTCGCTAACACTTGGCACAACTCCTGAAGTGATGACAAATTTTGAAGCTGAGAATTACAGGAAAACTCAATCTGGAAAAGCTCTAATTGAGTTCTGAAGTGTAACTTCTCTTGATCTGTGAAGTCAGCTGAATAAAACTTGTTTGCAAGTTGACAAATTTGTTCAATATTGAAAGCCTGAAAATTATCTTTGGGGTGCAATGCTGAACTAAGAATAAGCAACTCTATTACATCTTCCTTAAACCTATTCTTCATTTCAAGTATTTGAGAATCAACCGTTGCCAAAAACACATCAATCCTGTAGTGATGCTCCATGGTAATTGGATCATTTTGTTTTCGAATTCTTCCTCGACCTGCTTTATAAATGACATTCATATCAGGCATCTCTATATTTCGTGCATCACAAAATGTCTTTACATTGGTGAACAATTCATTCCATCCATTATCTCTGTAACTTTGAAGTCGATCCTTTGTTACTGAAACCAATTTAAGGGCATTCAAAATATCTTGAGATTTGCATTGTAAAGCTTGAGAAAGTACTTGTGCAAATCCTAAAATGTCCCTCATCATATGCATAACAAGAACAAAATCAAAGGATGTCATGAAATCATAAACTCTGTCAGCTTCACTTCTTTGAGTTGATGTATTTCCATAATTGATAACATCAATTAGGACAGAGCAAATGTCTTCATATTCTATGAATAAGCTACAGATAGAACTAAAATGAGACCCCCATATTGTAGTCCCTAGCCGTTTTAAGGTACCCATCTGATTCTGACCCCTACCAGTCTCAAGTTCATCAATAGCAATCAATTCAGCAATTCTAGCAGCTCTAGCAACTCTAAGTTGGTCCACCCGTTTGCAAGAAGATGAAACTAAATTTATAAGAAGAGATAAGTTTGTAAAGAATTGTTCCACAGGAATTACCTCTTGAGATGTTGCTACCAATGTTAATTGCAGTCGATGAGCAAAACAGTGAATTTAATATGCATAGGGGCACTCCTGAATAAATAATGCTTGTAGTCCATTCCATTCTCCACGCATGTTACTAGCTCCATCATATCCTTGGCCACGAATGTTTTGCACACTAAGATTATGGCGAGAAAGGACATCACATATCTCCTTCTTCAAAGTCAAGGAATTGGTTTCGTGCACATGAACAATGTCAAAAAATCTCTCTCGAATATAGCCTTGCTTGTCCACAAATCTAAGAACAATAGCCATTTGCTCTCTTTTTGATCTATCTTGAGCCTCATCAACAAGTATAGAAAATTTTGAATCATTAATTTCCTCTCGAATATGCTTTTGTATCTTGATTGACCAAATGGACAATATCTCCTTTTGGATCGTAGGAGAAGTATAAGATGCATTTCGAGGAGCATTATCAAGAACCACAGCAGCCACTTTTTCATTATAAGAAGACACATGCTTGATCAACTCAATAAAATTACCTCAATTGTTAGAATCTAAACTTTCATCATGACCCCTAAAAGCCACCGCTTGAAATGCACACCATTTTGCAGCATCTATGGAAACTTGAAGTTGCAACCGATTTTTTGCAACCTGCTCAGAATTTTGCTTCTCAATAATTTTATCAAGATGTTGCAATGAGTTTCCCAAATCATGATAGCATTGCATTGCCACTTTGTGTGATGAGTTAGGATCTTTTCCAATGTGATTTAAAAAAGCATAATTTTTTCCATCATTTACCTTCTTCCATGATCTAAATCCACTAGTTGTGAAGGCCATTGATCCAAAACGGTCCGTTGGCTTGGAAAAAAGTGAGCAAGGAAGACAAAAGGCAGCATTCTTTGTTGGAGAAAATTCCAACCAATCTGGAAACAATTTATACCAAGAGAAAAGGAAACGTCGGCCCTTCTTGTCAACAACCATTGATTCAATCGGAAGCTTAGGTTGGTATGGCCCAAACTTAATATATGCTCTCCGTACCTCATCCCTTTGATGCTCTAGATATTCCCAAATGGATTTTCTCTTTCCAGGATCACGTTCTATGGATGAAATATCAAACTCTAATGATTCAGCTCTACAAAATTTCTTTGTTTGATGCTTAGGAGAAGAATCACGAAGAGGACAAGGAATTTCACCACTTCCACTTGGTTCTAGACGTCTTTTCTTGAAAAAAGAATCAATTGTCCTGTTGGCCATTACCACTATATTTGCAACAAACAACAACCTGTAATCGAAATAAAATTGATTGAGAAATGCTGATTATGGCCTATAGAGATGGAATAAAAGCAGCAAGAACATTTGCAACCTAAGTAGACATAAGTGACATGCACAAAGTATTATTCAATAATAAATGCAAACAAATGATAAAAGATCTCCATTAGAGCAGAACAAGTTCTCATTTCAAACATATCTCAAGGAAGTTTTCATAGCTTGTTATTAAATCGGCTGAACTTGAACAACTAACACCTACTTGAACTCATCAACTACTGTAATCCGAAAAATAATCAATAACTATCCATGCCAGTAAAAGTTTCTATAGTCTAAACAAGCATTACTTTAAAGTATAAACGGAAACCAACCATAATAAATATGTACAATTTAAACTCCTTAAATTGCATAGCAAATTCTCAGCACAATGTCGAGAAACAAAGATAGACAATTCTAGAGGAACAAATATTCAGGAGGTCTTACTGCCTGCTGTCTAGAAAACCATGATAAATAAAGCAATGATAAAATAAAATCAGTAAAATGACAAGCAGAAAACTAAAACTCAATGTGCCAAGTTATTTGCCCAATAAAACTCAATGCTACAAGTACGAAAAATAATATAAGTCCCTCTCGAGCAATTCATCCAATAACTAGCGGGCCAACTTTTTACACCCACATTTCACTAAATAAATGCAATGTCAAACTAACCTGGTAAATGGTAATAGCTACAATAGTCTGAAATGGTATTGATGATTAGTGTTAGTTTATCTGGCATTGCAATTTAAAGGTCAATTTAAGCAACCAATGTCTAATTCATTAACCTGCTCTGATGATACAATAATATGAAACAACCCCTTTGGCCTTTTACTTCCTGAAAAAAAAAAGAAGAAGAAGACAGGTTCAGCAAATGCTAAAAGAAAAATTACCTAGACGGCTAGACCATGCAAAATGCAATGGTACAATCCTTAGCCAGCGGGGGAAGGTCTTCACAGGAGAAAGTTTCTTCAAGCCTTCACAGGAGAAAGTTCTTCAAAGCTCAAGCCTTTGACGTTTCTATTTTCTACTTTGACGTTTCTACTTAGGAAAAAGAATTGTAGCAGTCAATTGCCAAGTTAACTAACTGGCTATCTTTTCTTTGCACTTCATACGTTAAGAAAATAATTCTCTGTTATTTGGACTTTCAAATATTATTATTTGGGCCCTTCGGGGGGCAAAGTGAATTTTTTTGATTAATTTTTGGGGGGGCAAAACATAATAATAAAATTTTTTTACTTAGAAATTTTTTTTTTAACAATTGCCGCCCCCTTGGCCCCCCTTTCCCTCCGCCCTCACCTAGCTGGCAGCCCTTGATTGCGGTAATGCGGATAGATTTAGTGGTAGTTGTAGAGATAAAAGATGAGAGTTTCGGAGGTATAGAGAAAAATAGGATTATTATCACTTTACCCCCTCAAACTATATCACTATTATCAATTTACCCCCTAACATTATCTTTTAGTCACTTCATCTCCATAAGTAATTCAACTCAACATATTAAGAAATTTTGGACAAAAATACCCTTTTATTCTATAGCATTACTACACTATTATTATTACTTTTATTCCTTTAAATTATAGTGATATAATCGATTTAATTCCTAATATTATTTTCTTGGCATTTTACTTCATCGTTAATCTAACTACTATGGTCAAAAATTTTTAAATATATTTACCCTTATATATGTAATTAAAAAAATTTAGAATGATTATTCTTCTTTCTTTTCACTTTAAGAGATCCAAAAATAAAAGAGTTTTCTCAGATTTCTTTTTTCACACGTATTAATTTTATACTATGAAAAGAAAAAGAAATAGGAAAGAATGAGACAAAAAATTAGATTTTACAAAGAAAAAAAAGGTCTAACATTATCATATTAATTTAAGGTTATTGGGATTAGGATTGAAATCTGGAGATAAACAGTAAAGTGAAATAATTTTAAAATAATAAAAGTATTTAATTCTTTCTTATTTGTATTTTCTAGAAAAAGGAATTGAGCTCTCTCTCCCCCCTCTTCCTCCCCCTTCCAATCTTTCTATTTTTTTTTAATATTAATAAGATTGCTAAGAAGAAAGAAATTAATACTTTGACTTTTTTTCTTGATACTAAAGAGATACTGAAGAGGAGAAGAGCCACTCTAAGTTTTTTATTGTTTTTATTATACAAAGAGGAGAGTACTTTCTTCTTAAGTTTTTTAACTTGCTAAGTTGGTCTAATAGTTATTTTTTTTCAATAATATTTGTGATGACCCCACCTCTTTCTAGGACGTACCCTAGGGTTTAGCGGACCGCCTGTCCAACTCTCGTCAGGACTCATTCACTCACATCAGGAAAATAGGGTGCAACCTCAAGAATAAAAGAAATAACAGTTCCCAAGTTTGGAACATACAAATACATTCATTTCTATCTCAAACATCCATACAATCCCAAATATAACAAAAGATTTAAGTTTTCAATACATTCAACCCTAATTAAACAACTAGTGCGAGTACAATCGCAAAATTTTCAAAAACTAGACTATGCTAACCCGTACCAGTCTCACGTCTCGCTCGTACTCTCTGTAAGGAAAGCAAATGGCGTGGAATGAGTTAAAAATCCAATGAGGTTCCAAATAGCAAGTTGACCATTATTTAAAAGTACAAGTATCAACGTAACAAAATAGCGAGCATAACAAATTTATAAAAGTGAGCAATAACACTTCAAGTAGTCAATCTCAAAATGAACGAGTATAAAGTTTTTCAAAAAAAACAATAACCCGATAAATAATAATCATGTCAGGGTGTAAGGATATAGATGGCTCTCAAGAGCCAAATTCCTATTGCTTCACCAGAGCTTGATCAAGTAGTAGTTGACACTCCGTCAACTTTCAAGTAAAGTAACCAATCCAATAGAGCACCACTTAACTACAATCTCCGTCCACCATCCAAACCCCCTACTGGGCCCAAAATCCTCAATAAACACTGGTGGTAATACTCAAGCATATCAATTAGTCGAGGAGATAACACTCCACTCGACAACACTAGATACCCATGGTTCGTTATTTAATCGACCAAACCCTTGCCAGCTCGACTCGACTAACTAGCCAGTGGGGTTTGGGTCCCCAAGAAGTCGATGAGATAACATCTCCAATCGACTGAATCAAGATAAAAGTACGGAAACGGGAATGAGAGGCACCTCCCACTCGAATTAAGTGTGGTACATGCTGCCGCTCAGCACCCAAGTCAAGCACAAGTATATCAAGTCAATTGCAACAATAAACAAGTACATATCACATTAGGGCAAGTGCGATAAAGTACACCCTTGCCCGACCAATCCAATCAAATATCAAGTATTTAAATCAAGTATCATGTTCAATCATGTACTTGGAAGCACTTACCAAAGATTTAGTGCTTGTCAAAATCACGTTCAGGTGTAACTCCTTGGTTAGAGTCCAAATCTGCGATAAAATATCATTTACGAGCTTAAAATCAATTAGGGTTCAAAACTTAAGAGTTTCGCTTTAAGAAGATCAAGTAAATGAAACTCATTTTGATAGGATTCATGTTACGTATTAAACTCTAGAAAATTCATGCTCGCTCTTTTGGTGTTGCTAAAGAAGCAACTAAAATTTTGAAATTCGCATTTGAGTCCAAAAGACGAGAAAAACATATTCCGAGTGGTCACTACTTTCATTTTTCCAAGGGTATGAGTTTCGGTCAAATTTTAGCTTATATACCTTTACGAAAAAAGACTCGAATACTATAGACAATCCAAGTTCAATTCGACCTTAAATTTTCGCTCAAGTCGCGAGTACACACGCCTAACTCTCGAGTGAAAATTTGGGCAGCATGCCCTTTGTATTTAGCTATTTTCCAGCCATTTATGGCTTCATTATTTTCCTCAACGCAGCCCAAATTCACACATAAGCAATCTTAACACAATAGCCCTTCAACTAGGCTCAAGGTCATCCAAATACAAGGCAATTCTAGCCATGCAACCATCAAAATCAAAGCTAGAAACTAGTATTAAAGAAGAATAACTAAGTAACAGGTTTGACATCTTTCGGCCTTTTGGTCTCAACTGGAGCTAAGTTTATTGGATTGAGTTACATTTATGGCGTTTCGAAACTAAGACAGAGAGCAACATTCTTATGAGACATCAATACCCAGATCAATACCCAGTTCGTGCGTTTTCAAGGTCAAAATGTGAAAATCTCAGAGAAAACAGATAGCTGCCTGCGAAATAGGCTTTTGGCAGTCAGGGATATTTTAGTCATTTCACATTCTACAATACTCCGATTGAGCTGAAATTTTACAACCAGATAATTAACTTCATTCCCTACAACTTTCATGTTTTGAACAAGACCTGATTCGGCCTTTATCATGGACAAATATACAGTGCAGAAACAGGGCAGATTCTACTACAATTGCTGGAATTTGATGTTTCAATGGTTAACACTAACATTCATGTCTTGAATCACTACCCCAAGTCCCTATCCAAGCTCATCAACATCATATACTAGATAAACAACAATAATCACAACTGAAATTTTCAAACCCTAGCTAAACATTCCACCATATTATTCAAAACTAACTAATTAACCATAGAAAACCATGAACATAAGCTTATTTCCAAATTTTAACATGACTAAGTACAAGAAAAGGAAAGGAAACCATAATACCTTACAAAGCTGCTTGTGGGTGAAAACCTAACCCCTTTCTTCCAAAAATTTTTCCACACAAAACTTGCCAAACACCACAAGATAAGTTTAATCGGTTTAGATTTTGAGATTTCACTCAAACGAGATGGATTCAAGGTAAAAGTTGAACTTTTCTCTCTTGTGTTTTTTTCTCTCCTCAAGCTCGGTCAACAAGTCAGAAATGGAGAAGAAATGAAGCTAAAAGAATGATAAGAAGATAGGAATTTGTTTGGTCAAAGTTAATTTTGATTTCCGCCAAGTGTCGCTTTAGGATTAGATCTCAATTTTTTTTTTCTTTTGGTCAAAATTTTCGGCTGACTTGAGGGATATTTTGGGCTGATTTTACTGAAATAAAAGTAAGGAGATTAAGGTAATAAAGTAATGTTCAAATTGTGTACTCACTCGTTTGCAAACGGTGCACGTCGATTCAAGCCTATTTTCCTTGACTCGTACGTACTTGTATTTTTACTTATAGTTCACTAACTTATTATTATCACTTTTAATCACACACTTTTTCTTATCTAAAACTTACTCTTAACCACCAAATTTAGTACACATACCTGACCAAGTGATCACACGGTCAAAATACGCGAAAACCCTAATTTACCCTAACGATGAAAGTAAAGAGGAAACTCTTAATTCTATTCTTTATTCCAACTATTGAGGGAGTAAATGAGTAGCAAAGCTATTATAAAGTAATTGATTTAAAATAAAAGGAAATTTTTAAGAAAATATGAGCTAATTTTCTAGTCGTCACAATGTTAGCACCGTGTGTAGCACGGGTATTCACACTAGTTAGAAGCGTAATCGGTAGTTGCATCGTGTGTATCAGAAGGGTGGAGCTGGCTGTTTTCTAATTGAAATCACGAATTGAACAATTTAGAGGAAACCGTTCCTCAGTTCCTTAGTTCATTAGTCTAATCGAATGGCTCAATTGACTCTTACAAAATAAAACAGTTTTTTTTTTATTCAATTGGCTTTCTACCTCAGCCTAGCCTAAACAATTATCTAGTCAATGATTCAATCGATTCGATCAAGCGGTTCAAACTGAATTTCAAAACGTTGATAAAGAGGTTTCTGAAATGGTTAATCACAATTAATCCCCTTAAAGTATACCTCATTTCTCATTTTATCTCATAACCATTTTTTGTCTCACTTTATCCCCCATTGGACAAAATTATCCCTCTATTATTCTAAACTCTTATTTTTCTCTTTTATTTTTATTTCCTTTCTCCCTTTGTGCTCTTTTATTTTCTTTGTCTCTTTCTTCTTTTTTTAATTCTTCATCTTTCCCATAAAAATGCTCATCTTAATGATTGAAATTAAAAATGAGGAATTGCAGAGATCTATCTTCTCCTTAAATGATTAAAAAATATTCAAATCACTTTCCTAAAATACAATTTTTTTAGCCTTTCAATTCTTTCAATTTTGGTTTTTCCTCTTTCCTTTCTAATTTCTCATTTTATTCTCAAGAAAATATCATAAGATGAAATTGTGACCTGATTAATAGTCATCAATTGAAATTTGTGACACATGGCATCATACAAAAAATCAAAATTAGTTTTTGATGCCTTTTAAAATTTCACTCAGAATGCAATTACAAATTTAAAATAAAAATTTTCGTTAAGATGGAGTTTTCTATTGGGAAGAATGAAAGAAAGAAGAAAGAGAGAGAAATAAAAGAGAGGAAACAAGGTAAATGAAAAGTTAAAATAATGAAAGGGTAATTTTGTCCTATAAGAAGTTAAATGAGCAAAATTAAAGGTTAGGAGGTAAAGTTAGAAATGAGGTATACCTTAAGGAAATTAATTGTAATTAACCGTTCCTGAAATTGTTCGTATAAAAAAATGCGCTAAATCCTACAAATTAAAATTTCCCCTCATGCACTTCATTCGAAGAAGCACGTGCTCCTCGGACTCCTTTCTCAAATTCTCCGTTCATTTTGTTGTGAACTCCATTCACTTGTTCACCGCCTGCCAGGTCTCCTCCCATTCCCTCTTAAAAAATTCTGCTTCGTCCCGCAGCACATTCTCAGAAACCAATTCAAAACCACTATTATATAGACTAGTGAATATTTACTGGTGGTGATAATCCAAAAATTCCATTCTCACGATCATTTCTACAAATACCATAGTTGCATCGTCTTCTTCCGCGATGATTATGAGCTTTACCCATCAAGATTCTGCATGAATTAAATCGAGTTCTTTTAGTCATGCGATCTCATAATTCTACACTAATCTCCAAAACCTTTCACCCTAGTCCTCCTATTTCCCGATTCCGTTATCGTTCATCTGCTTTATGTGCATTGCTGGCACGGGTGTCACTTGATTCCGGTACTTTTAACGGGCTTAAATCTTATGCTTATCTCAAGGTAATCAACCATTTACACAAACGTGGCCTGCTCAATTTTGTTCTGATGCCCGGGTACTTGGTGGACTTAAGTTGTGGATTGTTTGTGGCGATTTGGTTTAACTTTGTCTTGTGTTTCAGCCCTTAATTTCTTGGTGTTCTTTGGTGCCATTAGCAGGTTGGTGTTGGGTCAGGAGCTAGGCGACATGGGTTTCTGTTGCGGCACAAGACTTTTCATGTTAATGCTATGGATGAGGTAATCATCAATTTCTTGTACCCCTTTTGTTACTCTGTGGAACCTTTGATGTATTCGGTAGGACTATGTTCCATTGATGGTATTGTACGACAGGTTCATTAAGAATTTTGGGGGAGACCAGAAAAAAGGGATAATAATTGGTAATAAGTGCTTAGAATTATGATCGGTGTTAATCGTTATGCTGTAAGACTAATATTCTGTTGCAGAATGTAGAAGATCTCTATAATTGGACTAATTTTCTAGGAGCAGGATGATGGGGAAGATTACAGAAGAAAGAATACAGAGAATTGATTGCAAGAATTAAGCTTGCTTTCCTTCTGATTCTAATTGCTTATTAATACTACACTGTAGCTAAATAACTCGACGTTTACAATTCTGCTAAATAACTCCATTTCAGCCAAGTTAGTTGTAACTAATCTTGGAATTTACAGAATTTGCAATATAGCCCCCGCTGATTTTTCTATTTACACTTATTGAGAAAAGCACTGCAACAGAATACTCCCTGCTCAAAGCAGTCCTTGTCCTCAAGGATTGAAATGTGGATATTTTTGCTTGAGATCATATCAATGCTCCGAGGTTGCATCTTTTGGAAATGAATTGCTCCATTGGACCAACACCTTAGTAGCAGGGGAATTACCTCTTTTAACTAGTTGTTGATCCAGAATGGCAACAGGCTCTAACATGAGGTGTCCTTGCTCAGTGATGGTTGAAGGAATAGTTGGAGTAACTGCATGGTTGCATACTTTCTTCTTTAACAAAGATACATGAAAGGTGGAATGGTTCTTGCATCAATTGGTAACTGCAGTTGATAAGCTACCAAACTCACTCTCCTAATTAACTGATAAGGTCCATAATATGTAGGAGCTAATTTTTGACATGAATGTGCCTTCAAGGAGTGTTGTCTGTAGGGATGGAGTTTCACTTATACCCAGTCTCCTTCATTGAATTCCCTATCAGACCTTTACCTGTTTGCCAACTGTCTCATCCTGTTCCGTGACTTGATGCAAATTATGTCGAAGCTTATTTATGACTGCTTCCCTCGCTGCTGGACTTCTGTCAACTATATTCACAACAGAATCTCCTGGAAGAAAAGGAATGTGAACAGGAGGAGGCTGCCCATATACTATTTCATAAGGAGTCATCTTTGCTGGAGTATGGAAATTGGTATTATACCAATATTCTGCAAGAGATAACCACAGCACCCACTTCTTAGGTAACTCACTGCACATACACCTCAAGTATCATTCCAAATGCCTGTTAACAACCTCAATTTGCCCATCAGATTGAGGATGATAAGCAGTACATATGTTCAATTGTACTTGGAACAGTTTAAAGAGTTCCGTCCAAAAATGACTCATGAAGATGGCATCTTTGTCACTAACAATAGATTGAGGTAACCCATGTAACCTTTAGATCTGATCCATGAAGCATTGAGCCACTGTATGTGCTGTATAGGGATGTGACAAGGCTACAAAGTGGGCATATTTGCTAAGTCTGTCACCTACAACCAAGATAGCCTGTTTCCTGTGAGAACTAGGTAGATCCTCAATGAAATCCATAGAGATGTCAGTCCAGATTCTCTGAGGTATAGGAAAAGGCTGCAGTAGTCCAGGATATGCTGCATTGTCTGGTTGATGTCTCTGACAAAAATGACAGGCAGCCAAATAGGAAGCAATATCTGTTTTCGTGTGTTTCCAATACACCACATCCTTGAGCTTTTTGTAAGTGACATAGACTCCAGAATGACCTCCAATAGGACCATCATGCCACAACTGAGTGAGCTTGTCCTGAGATGATTGTCAGCTCCCACTACCAGCCTTCCCTTCCTCCTGAGTTGTTGGTTATTCCAAGTATATTGAGAAGAAACATGTGAGAATTCTGATGTAAGACTTGCTAATCAAAGACTGTAATAAGGGATCTGAACTTCAACTGTTCCTAATTTCATCCAGTAAAACCGTGTCAGTGAGAGACTAGGAAGAAAGGATTCCTGTCTCAGAAGGTCTTCTTGTAAGAGCATAAGCAACTACATTCTCTGCCCCTTTTCTGTACTGCAGCTCATAGTCAAACACCAACAATTTTGTCATCCATTTCTGTTGTAATGGAGTATGCAAGCTCTGCTCCATCATATACTTAATGCTCTAGTGATCTGTCTTGCTAACAAAATGCCTTCCCGACAGATAATGTCTTCACTTCTGCACAGCACACAAAACGGCCATCATTTCCCTTTCATATACAGAGAGAGCTTGATGGGCTTTTGACAACATCTTGGTGAAGAAAGCCAGAGGTCTTCCCTGTTGAGTCAACACAGCTCCAATTCCTCCTCTAGATGCATCAGTCTCCACTGTGAACTCCTTAGAAAAATCAGGCAGAGCAAGCATAGGAGTTGAAACCATGATATTTTCCAGCAATTGGAATATCTGAGCAGCCTGCTCAGTCCACAGAAAACCATCCTTTTTTAATAACTCATTGCATGGCTTAGCAAGTTTACCATAATCTTTAATGAATCTCCAGTAATATCCTGTCAAACCCAGGAATCCTCTGAGTTCCTTGATATCAGCAGGAAGTGGCCAATTTTGGGCTGCCAAGATCTTCTGAGGATGATTTCTTACCCCCTTAGTAGAAATGATATGGCCAACATAGTCTATTTGAGTCAACCCAAAGGCACATTTACTCTGCTTAAGTTTCAAACCATGCTGCCTCAATACCCCAAAAACCAAATTCAAGTGCTTCATGTGTTGATCCCAAGAAGTGCTATAGATCAAAATGTCATCAAAGAATACCAAGAGAAATTTTTCCTCAAAAATGATCTGAATACATCATTCATCAAACTTTGGAAAGTGGAAGGAGCATTAGTAAGGCCAAATGGCATTACTAAAAATTCATAGTGACCATCTTCTAAATGGTGTTTTGGGAACATCTTCTGGCCACATCTTAATCTGATGGTACTCTGATCACAAATCCAATTTACTGAAAAATTTAGCACCAAAAAGCTCATCCAACTGTTCTTCAATAAGAGGAATAGGAAATTATCTTTCACTGTGGCTTTATTTAATTCCCTATAGTCAAATGCACATCATAGGATGTCCCATCTTTTTTCTTGACCAGCACCAGATGGGTGGAAAAAGAGCTATTGCTACATCTGATGATTCCAGATTGCAACATCTCAGATACCAATCTCACAATTTCACCTTTCTGAAACACAGGATACCTGTAGGGTCTAACATTAATAGGTTGTGCTCCTGGATTTAAGGTGATTCTGTAATCATGTTGTCTACTAGGGGGTAACTCAGTGGGTTCGGTAAACAAATCACCATAATTAATGAACAATTAATCCAATTCAGCAGTATGATCAAGATAAGAATCTTGCTCATTGCCAGTCATAGCAGATAAAGAAGCCATACTGGAATCAATAAAAGAAGATATTAAGCATAATTGAGCAGGTGCTACCTGTCCTGGTTTGGTCAGCACTTTCTGCATTTTCCTCGTGTTAGCCATCTGCACATATTGCTGCTTCGTTCCCCTCAGCACTACCTTCCTTCCACCATGCAAGAATTCCATCTTTTGCTGCTTGAAATCCCAATTAGCATTTCCCAATGTACACAACCACTGTATGCCCAAGACTAACTTCACAACCTCCCACTGGTAATATGATCATTTGATCTTCAAAATGTCGGCTATGCATTTGCCAAGAAAAATTAGGACACAATTCTGTGGTGGTGAGTCTATTACCATTAGCCACCTCTACTATCAAAGGAGCCACTTCCACAGTCTTTATGCTCAATTTTTGTACAACTTTGGGCAAAAAGCCTCAACAGCCATTAAACTATTGGCCGGGTCAATTTTTGACCATCAAACAATTTTTCGTCACAAACCAGTCACTCAACTAACTAATTAACACACCATTTGCCATTTTGTCTATTTTGGCTCTTAATCTACAAAATAATCCGAACAGTTGTTAAATCGCTAGGATATTGATGTTTTTTAAACATACTGGTTGGCCATGGTGAGCTATAATCGGTATTTCCACAACTAACTCACTTTTTTGTGATATATCAGTTGTAGAACAGAATTATTCCCACAAATTAAGAAAAAACAAGCATAATGTTTTATTCCAAAGAAAAAAAAGTTGGAACATAAGAATCCAATTTGGAATATATGACAAGAAGAAGCATGAATAAAATAAAAAAGAATAAGGAAAAGGACCAACAAAACCAATCTGATATCAGAAACATCAGTGTTTAGGAGGGAACTAATGAAAACTGAAACAATAACTCGAAAGAAAAAACCCATATGTCTGAATTTCACTGAAATTCTTCAGGAGTTTTGGATGGGGTCCAAGTGCAATCATGGTAGGAGTCAACTTGAAGAAGTCATCACTGGGTCTTCTATGGCCTTTCCAAGAACAACTGCATGCAAGACTAAGACTCTAGAACTAGTGGTAACTCGCTTGGAGGTCATTCAACTCAGTGAGTCAAGAAACCAGTGTAATGTCCAACTCAACTTGCTTCAACTCAGGATCAAATCAAAGAATTTTTCTGATGAAAAAGTCAATCATAATCCCCCAAGAACATTCCAGGAAAACTGATAAGTAAACTCCACATGACAATTCAATGTAGGGGAAAAAGCAATCAAGACAATTAGAGAAGCATTTTCTTATCCATTTTGAGGCCGAAGTTGTCTCATTAAAAATCCCTTTCAAGAATAGCAACTAGGTCGGAGAGGAGGAGAAGTTGGTAGGAATTAGCTGTAATTAGTCTAAGAATACAGCTATGTAATTAGTCTAAGAATACAGCTGTATATAGTCTGTAATTACAGACTATATACAGCTGTACATGGCTGACCATTTAACCTGGTTACTTGTATAAATAGATCAATGAAATATATGAAAGATATACTTTTCAGCATAATTAATAACTGGAGAGTAAACTTCAAAGGACAAACTAAATGCAGGAGAAATACAATCAATTAAAACAATGAGAAATTCATCTCCATACCCATCTTGAGGCCAAACTTGTCTCACAAAGAACAACAATTGGGTCATAATGAAGGAGAAGAGAAATAAGGAGAAGGACGTCCATAAGCAAGGAAAAGATGAAAGGGGATCAATGCTTCCTCAATCAAGAAAAGAGATGGCTATCACAAAGTGGGTCGATTTAGTGGTGGACAAAAATATCCTTGCATTTTGACACGTGCTTTGATTATTTTGGTACATTAAGAGCAAAAATTGGCAAAATGGCCAAGAGTGTGCTTATCAGTTATTTGAGTGATGATTTGTGACAAAAAATTGTGTTATGGTCAAAAGTTGATGTGCACAATAGTTTAATGGCAGCTGAGGTTTTTGGCCCTAGAACTTTTGGGTGCACAAAGTTGTGGAAACTACCACAATCAATAAAGATATTGATGGCTTTCCTACCCACATGACCAGTGACTCTCATAGTGCTGAACTTTGGAACAGCCAAAGTGGTCATGGCATTCACTGATATGTGTGCAAATTCTCCCAATTCCTCCCCATTTATCTCGTGATCTTCTTCTTCTTCTTCCACTGGCTCTTCTTCATATTCATCACATACTTCCTATCTAAAAAGCTATTGAGTGTGTTTGTATAGGAGATTATTTGAAATATTTATTGGGAATAAGTACCGTAGCACTTTTTGTGATGTGATGTATGTAAGATAAAAAGGTGATTGGAAAAATAAAAAAGTGTGTTGGAAATTGTGTTTGTGATGTAAGCAAATAATGTTTTTCCAAATCATGGTTATCCTAACACGCTCATTGTTTCTTGCATCTGTGACCCTGCTCAAATTTCTCATCACACCAGAAACACGAGCCCTTTGCCCTATTCATTTTTGCACTAAACCTCTTGACATTTTTCGTGTTGGCAGAATCATGAGCATTATAAGATGTTGAAGGTGGAGAGTTGGGCAATAATCTTGAATTCTGACTACTAGAAGCACCCATATAGGAGAAGTGATTTGAAGCATGAATGAAAGTTGTTGAGACAATTTTTCCTTTTTGAGCTTGCAGAAATTTGGCTTCCTCCAACCTAACCAATTTCCTTGCATGTCTCAATGTCTCGGGTGTGAACATCCTTACTGCCAATTGCATCTCCTCCTTCAACCCGCTCAGGAAACAGCTTATGGCATAATCTTCAGGGAGTTAAGTCCTCAAAGTTCTCCTGATACTCTTGCACAGATCCTTTCTGCTTCAAGCTCTCGAGTTCCCCTATGGGATCATGATATAAGTAATCATCGAATCTTGCTGACAATTCCTTGATATACTCTTCCAACTGTGGCAGTTCTCTGGTAATCCTGGTTCGCATATAAACCTGGTGCCATTGCAGGGTCTTTTCCCTCAAGGTGCATGGCCACCATCTTCACCTTGGCATGAACTGGAGTGTCATCTATATCAAAGAACTGTTCACACTTGTAAAGCCACCCCATGAAAACCTGAAAATCTTGTTGGTGCTTGACAACTTCCATTTTGATTGGATTGCTGCTCTCTGGGAGAATTTATCTCAGGCGAATTCCTTTGAGAATGCATCTGTAAGACTAATGACCTTAAAGACATCATCTCCTTTTCAAATTGTTCCGGCTGTTTTCTCAACATATTCTGCTCATTTTCCTCGAATTTCCTTGAATCTTGAGATCTGGTACCTTCCGCCATAGTTGTTTAGAAACCAGGTTCTGATACCAGTGTTGCAGAAAGTAGAAGATCTCTATAATTGCACTAATTTTCTAGGAGCAGTAATAGAATTGAAGAATACTACTTGAAGAAAACTGTGGAAAAATGACATCAATAATTTTATTGATGACGGGGAACATTATAGAAGAAAAAATACAGAGAATTGATTGAGAATTAAGCCTGCTTTCCTTCTGCTTCTAATTGCTTATTAATACAACACTGTAGCTACCTAACTCAACGTTTACAATTCAGCTAACTAACTCCATGTCAACCAAGCTAGTTGTAACTAATCTTGGAATTTACAGAATTTGCAATATAGCCCCCTCTGATTTTTCTATTTACAATTATTGAGAAAAAAACTGCAACATATTCACTTTGTGATGAAGCCAGGATAGGATATATTTGGGTTCAATCAGCACACGGAAAAGAAAGGACAGGATAGTAGAATGCAGACGCATCCAATAATTACGAGTATGAAGTATCCAATAAGGTCGTGTGGTAGTCATTGTTGCAAAAGAGTGAAGGGCAGTTACTACTTAAACTTTGGACAAATTGAATCTGGAAAAAGGTTTAGATTTGTCCTTTGTCCAATTAACAAGGAATGTCCCAGTAAATTACTTTTGAATGTTTTTTTGGGTGAGTTTACTTGTCTTTTTCTTGTTTAAATCCTTAACTGAAAAATTTTCAAATCTTTCATCATGCAACTGATATCAAAGGTGACTTCAACAAATAACTCAGCAAAATGGGTTGCATTTTGCTTTTTGGGCTGTAATCATTTTATTGGGTTAAAAAGATACAATTTGAAAAGCTTTGTACTGGCAATAGGCAAATATTGATTTCAAGTTTGCCAAATTGGTTCCAGTCAGAAGTCTGGGTAGCAGGTTGCTATTTTGTCTGTAAGTAAATTACCAATGGCTGGCAGCCATTAGTTCATGTTCAATTGGTTTTCTATCTACTACTATACATTTTTTCAGTAGAAGCATATCTACAGTTTTAGCTTAACTACCATATGATTGTATTAGGGAGCTTGGCTGTAAATTTAAGTTTAAACAGTTATTAGATGCATTTCTGATGGTCTTTTTGGTTTAAGAAACAAAACAAGATTTTGTTTGGTATGCTAAATCAATTGGGCCAGGAGATAAATAGTAATGGTGGTGGAACACATACTTATACTCTTTTTAATTGAATTTTATTTATGGAACTGAAAATTTTAAATAAACTTTTAGTCTTGCTGTTCTACTGGCATCTTGGTAATTATTCTTAGTTTTCATTGATTACTACACTTTGTTGTGTTACTTAAACAGTATTTTCTGATAGTCACGTGATTCTCTATCATCAACAGCACTGTCAAGCTGCTATAATAAAGTATTTGTCTGAGAAACTTTGTTGCACCTTAACTAGGGTTCATTCGACGTTTCTTCATTCCATGACTGGGCAGATACTGACGGGCCTGTTGAATATGCATTCTCATCAAGTGAAGGGGAAGATAGTGATAGTGAAATGATCTTACAGCCAATAACTGACGTCGATTTGCCTACCAGGAAAGAGCACTTCCATCCCACTGATGACTCTGTCACTCTGGCAGCTCATCGATTTGCAACACTTGGCAGGGCACAGAAGAAAAGAAAGTCAGTACACTTGGTTGACTGACAACTGAGTCACTTGAGCAGTTAGTGTGTCTTAAGAAGTTGATACCACCTTTTTTTTAATGTTTAAAATGAATATAGACTTTGATAATCGATGCGCAGTTCATTTCTTTTACATGGACTCACTATCATGTAATGCTATCCATTTTCTCTGTCTTTAGGTTTCTCTTGCTTAGTTTATATCGTGGTCATATTACTTGCATAAGAACAGATATACATAAAGTATAGTAGATTTAACTTAATATGCCATTACCGTTGCTTACTTTTGTCGCATGTTAGCGTGATGCTTATCCTTCAGTTATTCATCTTTTTTTCCAAGTAATATGAAGGAATTGTGTGTTTACACTCAGGAAGAGAATGAGGAATTCATGTCACATACTTGATTATCAAACTAGGGTCCCATGGAGGGGGGGAGGGGAGGAAGGGGGTGTGGGAATATGTGCTAGATCATCTCATACTCAAATTGAAGTAATTAAGTCTTAAAATTTTGCTAGTACGACATTTACAAGTTTGGTGTATCTTCCTCATTAACTAACCTCTCAGTCTATGTTCTTCGCTTCGTTAGTTATTAACCTAGTTGTAGTATGTCAATTTATGGGTCATGAACTGTATCACAAAAGCACAAGATCTTAGTTGAATAATTCTTAAGTGAAAGAAATATCTACTTGATATCTACTCAGTTGCTCTCTCTCTCTCTCTCTCACACACACACACACACACACACAACATACAAACATGCAGACACTCCCACACTTGTTCAATTAATAGTCATGTTGTCCTTTTTAACAATTCTATTCCTCTTATGGTTGAGTTGATTGGAACTTTCTCATTGCAGGTCTATATATGGGATTCTGAATAATTTTGGAATTCTGGCTTTCTTGATAGCCATGTTTTCACTTGTGGACTGGTGTGCATGGCGAATTGTTAGATTGCCCTTACCACCTTTTTATTTGATACGGCCTTTTGCAATATCCATAGCTATGGTGTGTTTTGTAGGATATATATGTGTTCCGTTGCTTCGTAGTTTGAAGCTTCTATCTATAATTAGGAACGGTCCAGCTCGACACTCTTATAAAAGCGGAACCCCTACTATGGGTGGCTTATATTTCATTCCAATTGGTATAATAGTTGCAGAAGTTATAGTTGGCTTTTCTTCTATTGAAGTTTCTGGAGCAGCGGCTGTTACTCTAGTGTTTGCAGCCATTGGACTCGTTGATGATCTATTGAGTCTCAAAAATAACAATAATGGTTTATCTGCAAAGATGAGAATTTTGTTGGAGGTGAGTTTCCTTTCATTCCTTGCTTCTGCTTCTATAGGATTTATTTGCTTTGTATAACACAAAAATGTTATGGTGATTAACAGATAGCTGCAACAACATGCTTCTTATGTTGGCTCTATACCGCGGATATATCATCACCCTACAGCATGTATACCTTCTTGTAACTAACTTGATCAACATTTTTTGATGGTAACCACACTTCTATTCTTCCAATGAAATTTTCAAGAGGATGTCTGCTGCTCCTTTTGTTTGTCATTTTTTTTGTTTTCTTTTTGGCTTTAATTTTTCTTGGTTGGAACTTGAATCTTTTTTGCTTTTTTGGCTTTTCTTTATTTTGGTGCTGAAATTTGTCATCACAGGAAAAGAATATCATCCTTATATCTTATAACGAATGGTACCATTAAGATTTAATAGTTGCAGATATGAGCTTTTAGGTTGATTTGCGGCATGCGGATGGTTTGATTAGAATTTTTTGAACTCTAACTAAACATATACATGAGGAGCATCCCTCATCCACTACTTATGTCATTGTCTATTTGAAATTTTTCACAGGAAAATGCTGGTTCCAATGCCAGCTCCACTTGGTCTTCTGTGCCTTGGAAATTTTTATCCATTTTTAACTGCATTTTGCTTTGTTTCAATGGCGAATGGAGTAAATTTCACAGATGGTCTTGATGGATTGGCTGGTGGGACTGCTGCATTGGCTTTCACTGGGATGTCAATTGCTGTTCTTCCAATATGTGCTGGTTAGTATGTAAACTATTGAACTTACTGCTGTAAGATTTAGATTCTTGGCTATTTTTGTTTCAGTATTTTACTAAAAGTGAAATATCAATTAGGGTGTGTAGTAGGAATTAGTAGTGCAAGCAAACTGAGCTCATGGCTAGTGCAGTGCTCAATTTGACAAAAAAAAAAAAAAAACTTGCCTCAACTCGATTTATTAACCTTAAATTCAAGCTCGAGCCGCTGAATTAGCAATTCAATTCGAGCTCAAGCTCTAAAATCTAGGCTCAGAGGCGTGTGAAACTTATCTTATTGGTATCTAGGCTCGGAGACTGTTCATAGTCTTAAGGGTGGGTTTTATTTTATGTGATATTTTATTGGTAAAGAACTGCAAGAATTTGTGGTAGCGTTCTCATATATACTTTTGTTTTGGCAAAGACAAAAACATGGATACGACTTGAATTCATTTTTGGCATCAATTTGGGCAAATGGTGGTATGAAATTCATTGTAATAAAAGTGCTAGAGTCAAAGTAGGCATATTGCTGATTGATGAATACTACCAGATTGAAGCTTCAAACTTTTGTTCTGAGTTTGAAATCCAACTCAAGTTTTTTGCTGTAGTTTGGTTGATGATATCTTATATACCCTTTTTGTCAAATTCGTTTGTTTTGTTGTTCATAGTCTTATGGATGGGTTTTATTTTATCTGATATTTTATTGGTAAAGAACTGCAAGACTTTGTGGTAGCATTTGTATATGTGCTTGTTTTGGCCACGACAAAAGCATGGATATGGCTTGAATTCATTTTGGTATCAGTTTGGGCAGATGGTGGTATGAAATTGATTTTAATGGAAGCTGTAGAGGCTTGATGTGGCTTGAGTTCAAGCTCGAATAATTCGTGAGTCGAGCTCGAGCTCAAGTAGGGAATTTTTAAGGTGAGTCTAACTCGAACATACAAATATTCGGGCTTGACTCAGCTTGATTATGCCCCTACTAGGATTTGTTATTGCTAAAAACAAGGACTGGGAAAAAAAAACTTATATTGTTTGTAAAATTGTACTTTTTCAACATTTGGCTTTGGAATCTTTGTTTTGTGCTAATTCTTGAACTTTAAATCAGATCTTGCTGTGTTTGGAGCCTCAATGGCTGGTGCCTGTGTGGGTTTTCTTTTTCACAATCGGTACAAAGCATCTATATTTATGGGCAACACTGGAGCCTTGGCCTTGGGTGGAGCCCTTGCTGCCATGGCTGCCTGTACAGGAATGTTCTTTCCCTTATTCATTTCATCAGGAATTTTTTTCCTTGAGGTTTTGTCAGTTATAATGCAGGTACAATATCTCTATCCCATGGAAACTGATCTTCTTAAACAGATTTTCAAGAAAATGGTAGATGAGTTCCATGTATTTTCCTACATGACTTGAGAAAGTTCCTTGCATCCTGGTGTACACAAATTCTATTTGTGATTTGCACTTGATGCTTTTGTTTGTAATACAGTGTGCATGCAGATTTACTGAGGTGTAATGGAATATGGATTCTTATAATAACTTTTTTATGAATTGTTTCAGTTCTTCAATGCTGTCGTGTTGTGTTGCTGCTTCTGATTTCCTTTTGAGATGGAGGGCTGCGGACCTAACATGCCTAATGTCCTGTCGATTGTTTATATTTGTCATCATTATTATGTCTACACATCTAGGAGATGATATTTGGAATCTTTTATCTTAGTTTTCTTTCTTGTTCACTTTTTTCCCTTTTTTGGTGCAATTTTTTCCCTGTTTTCTTTGTTTCTTCTTTTTTGTCCAGTTTTTTTAATATTCTGTGCCTTAAGGATTTTGGTACTTATGTTGCATTATTTTTTGTGCCCGGTGCATAATTTGGATTTGCATATTGGTTATGCTTAGGATGACATCAATTACGTCAGGTAACTTGTACATATCATTTCCCTAGCTGGCATCTTCATGCACATAAATTTCATCTAGTAGTTCTTGGATACAGTCACAGCATTCTTATAATTATTGTGTGGTTAGAATTTTGTCCTACCATGCTAGACCTATGATTTTTGGTGTGCAATTTTCTTTTTCTGGATGAGTAGCTGTTCTTGTGTCTTAGGTTTCTTTCTTCAAGACCAGCAAGCACTGGCGGGGAACTGGCTACCGTTTGTTTCGGATGGCACCACTTCATCATCACCTAGAACTCTGTGGAATAAAAGAACCAATAATAGTTGCTGGTGCATATGTTATTTCAGCTGTGCTGGTCTTTTTGGCTGGATACATTGGTCTCATTTCAGCATAAGTTGATGAAGCTTTCAGTCATCTCCTCAAGTTCATTTGGCTGCTGTCAGGTTTCTCTTTCATTTTCGTGTTTGGTTGGACTTGCTAGTTGCTACCTCAAATTCTTTGAAGGCGCCTAATTTGAGTTCCTACAATTTTTTAAACATGCCATTACTGTCCCAAGGGATTTAGGTAGATGTTAAACATTCTGAATGAAGACACTAGGAGTGTGTGTGGCATTAATGTCTATGCTTGTCTTTTTCCAGAAAGTCGGATACGGATGAGTGCACTCTTGGCTCAGATTATCATACGTACTAAAGACTAAAGTGCAAAAACTCTATACAACCATTAAATTATTCGAATTGCATAATTCTAGTCATTGAATTAGTTTTTAGTTTATTTCCTTATTTTATCCAACATTCTTATGACGCTCGATTTCACAAGAGATACTGGGTTAATAAAGCAAATTTTTTCAACAGAATATGATGGTGAATTCTTTGGGAGGAGTTGTTTAGAATAATGGAGAGAGTTTTTTTTTCTACCACTAATCACACAAAAAGCATAATCCTTTGACATACAAACAGATTCATGAATAATCAAAAGCTTGATTGATTTGCACGAGAATGTGAAGAATGGAGGAATTTTGCTTTGGTTCTGGTTCTACGGTCCATTTTACGAAGGTGAACTTCCTTTGTTGTCCCGAAAGGAAAAGAAAATTTGGGGTTTCTACAGCAAATTCTTGAGGGGATAGAAAGGGATAGAGGAATTTGGGGATATAAGATTTGAAGCGGTATAGTATTGCTTCAAATCTATATCGCCTTAAATCCTGCATCTCCAAATCCTTCTCTGTCCTCCACAGAATTATCTACCATGTCGCCATCTTGTGTCAATCAATTACGTGACCTATTTTAATCATCATCATCTCCAAATTGTAATTCCAGTTGTACTCTAAATGGTATATGAATAGTACTATAACGTTTGAGTATCTATCGTAAAAACAGATTACAGAGCAAGTCCATATAAAACTTGTGCTTGGTCTCCAAAATACTCAAAACACTTAATCCATAGTCCGCCATATATACGGCCGAGTTGTTTTTTTTTTTTTCCTTCTTTTATCCAAAATTCTTATGGCTGTTGATTTCACGAGAGATACTGGATTAATAAAGTAAACTTTTTCAACAAAAATATTATGGAGAAGAGTTGATTAGAATAATGGAGAGCAAGTTTTTTTTTTAACCACTAATCACACAAAAGGCATGATCCTTCGACATACAAACAGATTCATGAATAAGCTTGATTGATTTGCATAAGAACGCGAAGAATGGAGGAATTTTGCTTGCGTTGTGGTTCCTATTATCTCTGATCCATTTTACGAAGGTGTATTTCCTTTGTTGTCTCCAAACTTTTGCCGTTAAATTTGCTACTTTCCATTGGTTTCATGCTAGTTTCTGTTGTTTTACAAAAATTTTGGCGTATAATTTATATATATACAAAGGAGAAATAGGAGGAAAATATGAATTGGGGTACGGATTGAACCAAAGGAGAGTAAAAGGAAAAGGAAAACAAAAAGGCAAAAATGAAAAGTACACAGCATAGAATTGGGGAAGCTCGGATCATGTCAAGATATATTAATATAAAGTTTTTGTATTGACATAAGGGATCTTAAAACTAATAGAACGGCTTCAATCCAATGAATGGCCTTTTGTGAGTTAAGTATGTGATTTGAAACCACAAATAATCGTGTGGCTTACATAGTTATTAAATTCGGCACAATAAAGGAACCAAACAAAAGGATCAGGTGGATAAATAATTAGTTTAATTGGTGGATAGGTGATTGAGTTAGTGCGTCACTAATATTAAAAATTATTGATACATCAAAGTAATTTTAGTATATACAAAATTTATAAGAAAGTGCTTTCAGATATTAATTATTGTATTTAGAATGATATATTATAAGCATATAAATATTAATGAAAGATTTAAGTTCATTTGATTGTACTTTTACAAACTAGTTCATGCAGTCAAAGATAAAACAAAATCAACTACTTTCTAAATACTCAAGTACTTTCACATGATGACAACATTTTTAGTCTGGAAATTAAAAGGATTAATTGTACAATAAAAATGTAAAAAAATTTATTTATAGTGTCATTTAAACATCAACTAATGACTTACCTTAGTGGTAAATTCTTATACACAACTAAAAGTTGAATCAATGTTCAAATCTCATCAAAAAAAATGTATTTTGGTCTAAAATCAAAGACCTAATCCTTTGAAAAAAAAAGGTTAGCTAAAACCTAGGTGGGTTCCTGATCCAACTAGTGGATAGATTTGACCGGATTTTGAGCCAATTAGATTAAGAACTTTGGCCCAGCCTAGTTGGTTGGTTCACTAGACTAGACCAAGTTTAATAACTATGGTGGCCAAAATCAATAAACTAGAAGAATTGGTTTAGTTTTATGGTTATAGCCGCTTTTGCACTTTATCCCCTAATATATATATATATATATATATATATATTTCACTTTATCCCTTAAACCGTTGGTCAACTCTAACATTGTGTAATGGTAATGTCAAAAAGACATTTGTATGCCTAAGAGTTAATTACAGCAAATCCTCTTAAAATATAAATTGTTTTGCATTTTATCCCGTAACATTATTTGTTAACAATTTACTAAAATCATTAATAAGTCCAATATATAATGACACCCAAGATAACTAATGTCTAAAAAATCAATATGCCTAACATAATAATAAAAAATAATATTTATATATATGGTCCTAGTTAAATTTCATTCCATAATTGTACTTTTTTTTGGATTGAGGAGAATATCTTGCTAATTTGATTTAATAATGTGAAAAACAAACAAAAATTGTTATTAAAAAAATTAAAATGTGAAAATATTTTTAAAAGTCTAAAAATGATCAAGATATTGTCAGTTTCTCTTTGGGAATGTGCATACAACTAAACTTTTCTTTTAGTAGATAGATTTTTTTTAATATATGGAGTGTACTTTTTAGTTTGTTGATAATACTAAAAGAAGTGAAACATGATTGATTTGGAGTTCAAAATATTTAGTCCAAGGCATATTTCTCGATATATTTAATATTTCGAGTTCCTTTCTTGAAGAACGCTATTAGCACCAAAACTTAAAAAAAAAAAAAGGTCAATGATGCGAAAAACAAAACCACTGACTATAGAAGGCCCAATAATTTGATTCGGCGAAACCTCATTAAAAAATTTGAAGCAAAAGATGAGTGCACTAATAATTAGCAAAAGAGGTTTTGGTCTAACGGTTAAGGTTGGGCCCGTAAAACTTAAAGGTTCTAGGTTCAAATCTCCCTTCCTCCTCGCCACTTCTTAAATCTCGTCCTTCCCCTGCCTGAAAAATTACAAAAAAAAGTAAAAAATAAAAAAAATTCATCAATTAGCTAATTTTCATGTAATGCTTTTTTAAAATTTTTTGTATGCTGAACATACATAAATGTAGGCTTTATGGATGCCCTTTGTAGCAATCATTTTTTCTTAAGCTTCCCCCTGTTTCTATGTTTTTTTTTTTTTTTTTTTTTGTGGCTGAAACTAAAACCTTAGGGTTGCAAAAACTGCATGCTTGCAAATTAGACTTTGTTATTGAATTTGAAATCTAATGACTTAGTTTTACTTGAAACTTTCTGGGGTAGATCCTTCTATCTGTGATGAGTTGAGCAGCGAAGTTCAATAGTTTATATGCTTGTGGATTGACTTGTTATTTTTTGGAATCATTACTATATTGAAATGTTTGACATGCAAAATCTGACAAGTAACTTTTACACCGAATCCTATCAGGTCCTTATCAATTATCCAAGGTTTAATCGATCGTTGCTTATTGTCAAAACAATTGTCAATGTTCAATTATTATTCATTTAACTGTGTTAAGAGTATGCTAAAGTGTACATGATCAACTAGTAGTGGAGGCTACATTAGAAGTGGAGAGCCAAGTTTCACCATGAGACCAAATTTAACGATCGGCAAATAAAGTTTGTAACACTACATATTTGCAGTAAGAAGTCAAATTTAAACAACATCCATCGATTCAAATTCCTAAAACAAGTATGACATTATTAAATAAAATTATTGTTTATTAGTTCTTTCGTTTAAAACTACATTTATTAAATTACATTCATCATACATATCAAAACACTTCACTAAACTTATTAAATTTATAGTTAATGCTCTCATTGAAAGAAAAATTAAGAAAGAAATCACCCAAAACCTGGGTAGTTTAGCAATGCAAAAGCAAGAGTTGAGTTATGATATCGTCCCCTTTTCTTGGTGGGTAATTTAGCAATTCTGCTTCTCTCCTTTTGTTTTCTCTATTCATGATTGACTATTTCTCGCATTGCTCACATAAGGTTTCAAGAATTATTTCTCAAATTTCTCCTCCCACTGCCGCCTCCTCCTCCTCTTCTTGATTGGGCAATTTCAAGAGTCCTTTGAAGTAGACGCCCAAAGAAAGTCTCCAAAATTAACTAGGTGAATTTAATCAATTCACATAGGTACCAAAATTTAGACAACATCGTTGAGATTTTGTGTTTGTTATTACATAAAATTGAATATATTCAGTAAACAAATGGAAACGAAATAAGGGAAACATTAAAGAGTACTAAAAAATGGAAATATGCAATAGTCAGTAAGTAATACTAAAATGAATCCCCTAATCTTGAATGAATCACTTTTACATTAACATGGTAAACTTGTACACATTGATTAACCATAGTTGTTGAATCTCAAAGTTTGTTAGTGTTAGACCAGCTTAATTATGTGAATATTGACTACCTAAGAAAGTTTATGCAAATTGAGGCTTAGATGCATTGGTAGAGCAACAATTGAATTGAGTACTATGTTTACCATTTGTAAGACGCAAAAATGAGAACGTTATAAATATTTCAGAATTATATAGTAACTAGCTATTTACCTATGCATTTGCACGGGTTCTTTTTATCATCAAGATTTTGTTTTTAAATGAACATGGACACAAAAGAACTAAAATGACAAATTTATTAAATTTTGAAACACTAACTATAAGACAAACATTGAAACTAAATGATATAATATTTGTTATTGATGCACAATTCACTAATTAGTTCTCAACAATCCCATCTTGATGGTGATAAAGTATCGTGTAAGAACAATAAATACATTAGAGGTATATGAATATTTAATTACTTTTTTAAAAATAATGTAAAGAAAACAACTAATAAGAAATAATCTTCAAAGGAAAAAGAACAAAAAGATGTCCGCATAAAGAGCATGTGATCATGATTCTGAAAAATAGACAACTGATTTTGAATTTTCTAATTAAATGAAAACAGAATGTATCTTTTGCTTTT